TAGCAAATGTTAGCATTCTAACATGCTGCCGCTATCTCACACCATGGGGTTGTGACCATATTTCCCATAAACCCTATTCCATTCTGAGAGAAAGGAAGTTGCTACTTGTTCTCCCCACATCTCAGTAAATGTGTAATGTGCCATTAAAAGAAACGGATTCATTTGCATTGAAGGAAGAGCATTCCCTCTGCTTTGTGTGGTAAAGCTGCGTCATTTCTACCATAAAGCAATCTCACCAATAATAACCAATGGCACACATTGTAGAGTCTAGGAAAAGACTGCTAAACCACTGCCAAATTAACAGTCACATATTAAGGATAATTATCTCATAGTTAATATGGTGACAGTTTGATGTTAAAATGCTACACAATTAAAGAATAAAAGACCTAACCCTCCCGCCTGCAGATAACCTGTAAGTGTTGCAATGCTTGTCTTCTATCCAGGTATTGACTCTGCTGATAAACTCAGCATACAAGCCCAGTCGTGTGCTGAGAGAGCTGCAGCTGGACCAGGAGAGCCGCTGGCAAGGCTATGGAGAGACACTCAAAGCAAAGTGAGGGGAAACGCCATTAAATCTGCTATATAGGAATAGTAGTACTGTTCACAGCTGGGCTATTTTAGGACGCATGCTGGATTAAACATGTACTTGAATGCACAAGTGGAAATAAATATCTGCACACCAGAAGCCAACACAAGCTCCTGACACTTGATTAAAGCGACGATTTAGCTGACAGCATCTGGCTTACTTTTCAGAGAGACCTTGCTGGTTGTAGCAACCTTGCTAGATCAAACATGAACATAATAGGAGCTTTAGTAAGTGAGAGTAGTCGATATCGTAGATAAATTTATAATAAAAAAAAAAAAAAAAGATTTTTCCCACCTAAAATTAAATGAAAATATGAATCATTTATCACTATTTATTTGCTGTTCAACCTTGCTTTTCTTTTGAATGTCAGGTACAAGGGAAAGAGTTACCGGGCCACTGTGGAAATAGTCCGCACTGCAGACCGCGTGGCAGACTTCTGCAGAAAAACCTGCATCAAGCTAGAGTGCTGCCCGAACCTGTTTGGACCCCGCATGGTTCTGGACCGCTGCTCAGAGAACTGCTCTGTCCTCACCAAGACCAAATACAGTAGGTGGTTTGCAGAACTAGAGACTTCTGATTATGGAGACTTGAAATGATATATTGGCTGATATGGGGTGGCTGCTGTCTCAACAAAGGAGACAATGAACAGAGCCTCGAATTGTTATGATTCATTTGTAATCAACGACATCTGTATACTTGCTTGTCAGTTGTGACATTAGTTCTAAACATTGTTCAAACTTACATTCACTTTTCCTTCTTCAGAAACCTCCAGTTGTTTTCATTTATGCTGCTCATGAATATAAATTATCATATAAGTACATAAATGCTCCCTTAATGAATACAGAAAGTCTGTGAAGCAGAGGAATAGAGTTGAAATTGGTTGAATAAGCAGATATAGTTGGCTGAAAACGTGCCAGGATTGGCCTCTTTCATCTTCTGCTGAACAAACCAAAGTCACAGATTTGTTGATATGTTTACTGGCTGCTGCACTGCAGTGCTGGGGTTAAGACACTGATGCAATTTGATGGCAATAGAAAAACAATTACACTTTCTCTTTTGTCTCACATGTTTTCATATCACTGCAGACAGTACATGTCCTCCACTGACATGCTTTTCCTGTAGAGAAAACGTATTAAAAAATACAGTCATTAAAATCTGAATAATCGGTTCATTTCCATCTATCACAATGATGCATTCAAATCTTTCAGACATGTCAAATGCAGCATATCACAATAAGCCTGTTGTCTTGTCACCAGCATATTACTATGGAAAGAAGAAAAGTAAACGTGTTGGCCGTCCACCTGGGGGGCACTCCAACCTGGAGGGTGGAGTAAAGAGAAGAGGGAGGAGGAGGAAGAAAAAGAAGCAGCTCTTCGTCCATAAGAAGAGACGCTCCTCAGCCTCAGTGGACAACACGCCTGCTGGGTCTCCACAGGTAACAGACACACACACACACACACATATTTAGTCTTTATTAAGTGTTATATGAAAGGATGTATCAGTTGTATCATTAAAACCTTTGATTCTTCCTCACACTTTACTTCTATCTGTCCTTGACTTTGGCTCACAGGGCAGTGGCGAGGAAGAAGATCTGGATGAAGATGACTCCCTGAGTGAAGACACTGGCTCGGAGCTGCAGGACGATCTCCAGGATGATTCTGAACAATCGTTTGGGAAGTCTCAGCCTGCCACGCCATCCCCCTCCCCGCCGGCAACACCCAGGCCCACACGTCGACGCCGGAAACCCCGCTCACCTTCATTTTCCGATGATGAGAACCGCCCACCCTCACCAAAGGTAATGAAAGTCACAAAGAGTTTTAAAATGACTCGACAACCATAAATATTGAAATGGTTTGAAAATATTTATCTGGTGGTATTTATATGTCAAAGTTTACTTAACAGACTTCTTATCTTTAAAGAATTCTCCATTGTGTACCACTAAGCATAAAATAAAAATGTTTTGCACAATTCCACCTCTGTGCCCCATCCATCTAATACACCTGCCTTTCTCTGTCTTATTTTAATAACATTTTGAATGATGTTTTCACTGTGACCTGAACGTTGTCTAAACAGCTTATGAGAAAATCCACAAGATTGAAACAGCCAGTGTCTCTTTTATGAATTCTTCTCAGCATCAATTGTAAGGGTTAAAATGAGCTGTGAGCCCTCCACTTCAGATGAGAAATTTCTTGGAGTCTCTGTTGACTCACCCTGTCTGTCTGTTTATAGACCTCAAAGACTGAGCCTCCTCAGAAGTTGTGTTTGGACACCAGCCCACTGGAGTGGAGCGTTACTGATGTGGTTCGCTTCATCAGGACCACTGACTGTGCACCTCTTGCACGTATTTTCTTGGATCAGGTAAGAAATACTAAGAAACTTAATGGGCACTCAGGGTGGCTGTGCACTCTACTCTCTTTAATCCATAGTCACAAATACAAAACATCACTTTACTAGATCGTTGAAAAATGTATTTTGTAATTCTGCATCTCATACGAATGTATATTTTTGTAGGAGATTGACGGACAGGCGCTGCTGCTCTTGAACCTCCCAACAGTGCAAGAGTGTATGGACCTGAAGTTGGGACCAGCCATCAAGCTGTGCCACCACATTGAGAGGGTCAAGCTGGCATTTTATCAACAGTTTGCCACGTAGCTGACGGGGAATGAACATGGACATGAATACATCCTGTTTTGTGTATTAATCCTGTGAAAAACACTGTAATTCCCAATTCTGATTTTTCTAACACTGGACATCCTTTAGAATCCTGCATATACCACACTGTGTCGGACAAGCATGACTGTGAGATGGACAAGTAAAATTTTCTGATCGTTGAAAAAAGAACAAAGAAGAAGAGCTACATAAGGTCAAAAACAGTTTGTGTGTTGTTTACGAAGCCACAGAGCAGGACTAAAAGAAGAATTCAAGGCACTTTAATTCAGTAAATAAGTATGAAAGCCTTTATTGATTCCAGCCCATTTTGCAAAACAAAAAAATGCAAGCCATCATCAAGGACTTGTTTTCAAATTAAAATAGGTTGGTTTCTAGCCTCGTTCTAATAAAGACTTATTAACTTATGTGTCTTCAGAGTGCCTCGGATTCTTCTATACATCTCTTCTATATTTCTTCTTTCTTAATGTGGAAGAGTGACTGAGCGCCTCCGAGTCAACATTTGCACCATCTGCAGGTGTCAGAAATGCAGTGGCCTTGCCTCCTAATCTGGTGATTTCACTGAAGTCTAATTTCAGTTAAAAGATGGTCAACATTTTTGGTGCAGATGAGGGTACACAACATGGTATCTGACAGCCCTCTTGCATTGAACCACTTTTTTACAAAATGAGTTTCACTGTAAAAGCTCCAAGCTGCATCTTGGATTACCAACAGATTTGTAGACTTTGTTTTATGGAAACTCACTTAAATTCTCAAAGATCACTTTGCCCATGAATTAAGCAAAGATAAAAATAATTATTGTAAACACATAAAGCTACAAGTTGCATAGAAGTAATACGATTTGCAGGTTTCTTGAAAGCCAGAGGTAATATTAAACTAGATTTGCTGACAATAGACGTGAAAGAACAGTCAGTGACATGTTGCAAGATAAATTTGATTTTAGCGTAAACACCAGACATGAATATTGTACCAACACCATTTCCAAATGTTATCCAGCTGAATGAAGATACAACAACAACAGATGTAAAGGGAGCCTTCATCTCAAGAGATCAATTGTTTTCTTGTTCAAGCTTCTATTGTATGCAAGAGCAGTTTACAGTGTAAGGATTCTGTAATGCAAGCACAAGCACAACCATGTACTGTATGGTTGTATGCAAATTTGACACTGCATGTTTGTATATATAATGTATATAATCAAATATCTTCTAGCGTAACAGGGTGAAAGAAAAATAATCTAATGAGCAAATAACTTTCTGCATAAGCAATGTGTAAATGCCCTAAATATACAGTATGTTTGCACAGAACAGGTCTAAATTTTCACATATGAGGTGTATGGTTAAAACAAATTCAACTGCAGTTGATTATTTGAGGAATTTCATATCATTGAAAGGTCGTTTTTTTTAACAATTAACTGAATGATAAAATGGGCAGTTTTAAATCAAGAAGATATTCTCAAAATGCTTTTGTATATCAGTTTTTCCTCTTTTTACCAGTTCTCGTAGTGATTTATTGTAACGTGCATCATTTTGTGTGTAAAACCTCTGTAGGCTCTTTGTTGACTACTTTGCTTGTAGTTTCCGCTGTTTCCAAAGCAACAAACAGCTTTTTTTTAAATTTCATGTTTGAAGATTATAACAGCTATTTAAAGAGAAGACTGCAATTAAAACTGTGAGCAACGAATATTAGACGGCTCCTGGTCTTTGTCCTACATTTCCCAACATGCAGTTCGTGGTTACGCAGGTCACATGACACAGCGTCTGTCAACATGAGTGGGCACTGCTGGGCAGGGAAGCAGCTGGGTGAACGTGAACCGTGACCTGTGAATATTGAAATCATTTATTTTTAATACAGACGAGTTGTTTTTAAACAGGCGTTAAAGTCACGAGCGACCGGTGCTCGCGCTGTTCCCACCACCTGAGAGAAACTACAGGTGTGCTATGCTAGCGTTAGCTTAAAGCCACTGAGGAGTTAGCTTGGGGGCTAGCTAGGTGGGTGATGATAGCATCTCAGCCGCTGCATCTTTTTTCCTCTCCCCCACTATGGACGTCTGACTGTCGGTGAAATTAGACGTCTCACTGACTGACCCGCGCTGTACGACACACCTAACATAAGTTTGAAGTGTGTGTTTGACGCAGGTTTCGCTGGTGTTGTGTTGTTAACGTACTAATGTTAGCTCGCAGATTCCAGGTCGAGACAGAAAGGTTTCACTGCTCCTTCTGAAGCAGCTAATGATGTTTCATGTTGCTGCTGGATTTCAAAGTGTGTGAACGAATCAAATCATAGCTACGTAGTGCGTTATTGTAACTTCTAGCTAGTACGACTTTACTTCTCTCATGACAGAAACAGCTATGGCTGTATGGATGCTTGAAGCAGGAGAATGAGTGCGAGTGGGGAAAGAGGATGCCACCATCTTTCATCGAAGACTGTCCAGTTTAACAGATCCATTAGCTGACCAACAACTGCTGGAGAGGACTGGGAAACGCGTAGAGTCTGTGTGAGAAGCCACCGCTGTCGACTTTATTAGTTAGTCTCGTCCAGCCCTTCTGTCCCATGGATACTGTTAGTGGTGTCAACATGCTGTCCCAGCTCGGAGACGTGGCACTGGCAGGTCCCGGGGGAGCAGGGCTGCCCGCTGTGTCCCTAACCAACACGTCGGTGTCCTCCAGCCCGACGCCAGGCACTGATAACCGAGGGTGTGAGAACGGCGCCTTGATGGACTCGTTTGGGATTTTTCTGCAAGGACTTCTCGCTGTGGTGGCGTTCAGCACGCTGATGTGTGAGTATTGCCAGAGGTCAGCTGTGTGCTAGTTAGATATCTGACTCCAGCTGCTGACGGAACTGGACAATTATCCAATAGCATCACCCGGTTAATCAAATGAGACATTGATCTCAGCTGGCAGGGTCAGGCCCGAGTCTGAAACAGGATAAAGCAAAAACAAGTAATATAGAAAGGCTTTCTGTCTCTTGTGAAACTAAATTCCAGGGGTTTAACTTCAGTGTAACATTACAGCTGGTGACTTCTTTGTTGAAGTTATTTGCTGTGGTTGTGATAAAAGCTGTGCACTCTTTACACTTCCTGCCACATGTTTGACCTTTCCTGCCACCTAATATCTATTCTGTGTCTCTCAGATTAAATCTCAGCCATGAAAGAATCCTAACAGGGAACTGCTGTACTTATCTCATAAGGATTTTATCTTCCAGGTGGAAGCCAGAGTATGTAAACAAAAGAAAACATGAAGTTAAGGGAGAAGTGACAGGGGAGTACTGAATGCTCACACTGATTATGTGTGTCTCAAATTGCAATAAGCACTTGCAGCTTCAATTCACTTGGGTATATTTCCAGACAAAAACGGTCCACAATGTTTTCAGAATAAGTTTTGCAAAGTAAGGTACATTCCCACACGTGACCCTGCAGCTGCTTCACAAACTGTTTCTCTTCCCTGAGATTGTTTTGTAGAAACCGGTGTGTGCATTTCAGAATCACATTACATTGCACAAACATAAACGATTTTTCACAAATGTTGTCTACTTAGTTCCTTCTTGTTTCATTTCTGCCTTCACAGGTCTGTTTCCATTTCTGGCTAAGATGGCTGTATATGAAAGTTGGGCAGCAGAACATATATTTAGAGTTTAGGGTTTAGCTGTGGTTCCATTCAGTCAGTGTCTGGCACACCACTGACAGCTGCATGACCTAATGAGAGCAGTCTCAGTTTTGTGTGTCCCAGCAGACTCGTAGCAGCGAGGAATGATCTGCATTTTTCTGCTTTTTTTTTTTTTTTTTGCTTGAGGCAGCTCTCTGAGCAGAAGGAGAAGGCCTCCGCCTGTGTTCTCATCACACCCAGCTGCACACAGGGTGTGTTTAGTCTGAAGTTACACTTAGCAGAAACTGAGGTCATAGCTTGCAGTATAACTTGTCCGCATGAAAAACACAAAAAGCCTTGAGTAAATGTTTGGGCAACACTACAGTATTCAGTGCGAGTTTTGAGAAGTGAGATTGATGTGTTCTCTGTGAGTTAAATGGCTTGTGTAGAAGTTATGGTCCAGCTGAGGTAGCACAGCCTCGAATAAATCCTTTAGAGCCTGTGTCTGATGTTAGAAAAGTAAATTAGTGATATCATAATGTGGTAAGACTCCCTTCTCATGCAGCTCTGTGTGATAGCAGTTAAAAGAGGAGGGCAGTGACATCGAAAACAAGTCGCTATTGTGAAGAACAGCAAGACCTTTATTTGTGTTGGACATGTCACTGCTTTCAGTGTGGAGCCTTCTTGCATAAAACCCAGAGAGAGAATAATTGAAGTGAGGACTTATAAAATGCACATCACTGGCACCCCAGAGTAGCAATCACATTGGCACATACAGTAGTTTGCACATACTATCATATTGCCACTGCAGATCAGTTTTAGGTCATGTTCTTGTCCACTACTTCTGCTTCCTCTGTGACCAACAAAGCATTTGATGGTTTATTGCACAAAAAGGGGATGTATAGTCTAATTTACAAGCTATAAATGTGTCGGTACAAACCAAGACTTTCAGTTGGACAAAAACCATTAAAATGCTCATTGGAGCTTTGACTCACATGATGGTTATAACTTGGTTGAAATGAAAACAAAGGAGATTCTGTCTGATTGATTCTTCTGTGTTTGTATGACTGATATGTAGTAAAATCCCACTATCTTTGTGACACACTCTTCTCTCCTCCACAGTGAAACGCTTCAGGGAGCCAAAACATGAGAGGAGACCCTGGAGGATCTGGTAAAGCAGCTGAGCCAGCTTAAATTTATTTCTCTGCAAAGGCATGAAATGAATCCTGCTGGAGTGCCTCAAAAGCATATCAACTGTCCCGTCTCTCTGCAGGTTCCTGGACACCTCAAAACAGGCCATTGGGATGCTGTTTATCCACTTTGCTAATGTCTATTTGTCAGACCTCACAGAGGAGGATCCCTGCTCACTGTGAGTTAATCCCGTATTTGACCTTTCTCATCAGAGCACCCTGATTCTGCATGTTACAGATAGATTTTCAAGAAACAGTGTTGAAATGCAGGGAACTCCAGTTTTAAATTCCATCCATTTTTCTGTCCCAGATACCTCATTAACTTCCTGTTGGATGCTTCTCTGGGCATGTTGCTGATCTATGCTGGGGTGAGAGCCGTCAGTGCTATTGTAGAGTGGAGGCAGTGGGACTCCCTGCGTTTTGGAGAATACGGTGAGTGGTAAAGTGGGAGTTCCAGCACATTCCTAAAATGCCTGCAATGCCCAATGGAGGGCAGTAGCTGCCCTCAATGTGCTGCACTGTCATTTCTTACTTGGCCAGTGTTGTTTGTCAAAACAGTTTGTGTGAATCTGAAGCAGTGAAATCTAATAATGACCTGTGCTAGATATTTGAATCCCTTTTTTTTTTTTTGTGTCTGTGTGTGTCTGTGTGTGTCTGTGTGTGTGTGTGTCTGTGTGTGTGTGTGTCTGTGTGTCTGTGTGTGTAGGAGAGCCAGTGCAGTGCACAGCATGGTTGGGCCAGTGTATCCTCTACATCCTCATTATGATGTTTGAAAAAGTCCTCATCATGCTGGTCCTCCTCATTCCCCAGTGGAAGAAGGTGAGAAAGAAAGTGTAACAATTTGAAAAAATAGCAGGTGAAATTAGTGCCCATTAATATAATTTGAAAAAACAAAGTGATCAATGTGCCCTCATCAGAGCCATTTACCTCCTATAAAATATCAAACTAATTAAATTACCTTCATGTCATGCATGCTCATTGATTACTGTAATATGAGCCATTTCCGGCCTTCCGAGAGTTTCACAGCCACCGTATTTTCAGACGCAAGCAGCGTTCAGTTAGTTGAAATCTGTAACATCACTGCTAGATGCTACTAAATCCTTTATACTTCCTGCAGGAATGGTAAATACATTTTTCTTCACACACAAAAGATGAGGTGGTTATTATAGTTTCTATACAGCAGGGGTCTCCAACCTTTTTGAGAGTGACTTATAAAACGAGAGAAAATTGTCAGGAAAGCTACTCCGTATATTTGACAAGCATTCATGTTAAATTGATGGTTTCAGTAGAATAATGATGTGTATTTTCACCTGAAGTCATTTTCATATACAGGGTTTTGTATTTTTGAATCAATTTGATTGCTGCAGTTTGAACTGAAACTGCAGTTGTGGAAGTTATTTCTTCTCTGGTTTTGGTTTTAACACTGAAGGATCTTATGAGAAATCAACTGATATAAACAGTGAATAATCTGTGGAGGTGTTTTGCTCCTTGGAGTAGAATTTCGCAAATTATCTGGAAATTTTTATTTTAGTGTGTAAACAATCATAAAAAACTGTAATAGGGGAGCATGGTTTCAACTCTCAATATACTTTTTTGATTAAAAACATAAAATTAAAACATGTTTGTAATGTATTTGAATGTGTTGACATAATTGAACCCAAATACACTTCATTGGAAGTGTTAAAAATATCAAAGATTGAGATTACAGAACATGCTCGGCGGCGAACTCTCTTGGAGACCCCTGCTCTACAGTGTAGTTACCATGACAGGTGATCACTAGTTTTTAATAAATCAAACGATCATGGTGGGACCAGAAAGCCAGGATTAAGCACAAAACTACTCAGAAAACCTACTCATCAATCTTCATTAAACAGGCCCTTAATTGCTCATCGTCTTTTGAAATCCTTGTCTACAAGTACAGTTATATATCCCTTTAAAGGTGACCTTTGTAGTTTTTATGTAAAACAAGCAAAAGTTTGTTTATATTCAGTATTACTTGCCAAAAACATTGTATGTGTCCTTGAACTTCATGAAGGGTGTTGAATGCATTTCCTTCATCATAAAATATTTGCGGGGAAAAAAGTATTTTCATTCCTGCGATGTCAACATCCATGTGTAAGTGGAGTCCCTGCCTTTTGTTGGCACATTAGTGTGAAACCAATAGTGTGAATGTTTATTGCCTCATATCTGAGTGCATGTGCATCTCAAATACTACTCCCTGTTATCCAATGTGCTGAAGACGAACATAATAAGGAGTTCCCTGACTGGGAATCAAACCCGGGCCGCGGTGGTGAGAGCGCCGAATCCTAACCACCAGGGACATCTGTGGGGGACTATTCTTTGCCGTTGGTAGACGTCAGTGTCAAGTGTCACTCTCTGTACCTATTAGTGGTCTGCAGAAACACTGGCTGAAACCGTGCCACTACCTATAAATGTAATATCACAGTAGTTACTCTGAGCGTTTTAGATAAAAAAAAACAAAAAAAACAGCACTTATTTTGAGAAATCTTCATTTTTGAAATGATCCCCCTTTCCCCACTGAAGGAGCGCAGCTACAATGGAGGCAACAAAATGACAAGTTTGTAGAGAATACAGTTTATTTTTATGGATTATATTGATACCAAATTGACAAGACTGTGGACAAATAACAGCCTTTAACTTGTGTTTTTATAGACACGTTAGGAATTGTTAAACTACACAAACACAAGGTAACTATTAAAGTAATATAATGTTGTCATTGACATTGACTGCTGTTAGTTATTAGTTTGATAAATGGTTTAATAATGTCAGGCTAATTATGAGCTTATTCTACTCAAGAGTTTCAAATGGCAGTATGCTCTAAATGGTTGGCCTTCGTGTATTGTGCTTGTTATTACTGGTGTTATTAATGACTCCAGTCAGACGGGTTGTGAAAGTGTGTGATCCCGTGTTGCTGATCAGCAAATTACAAAAGTTTACTGAAAGTTGCGTAGCGTGAACAGTACAGAGATCTCTCAACTTTGTAAGTCTTGTAGTGTGTCAAAGGCTTATGGCTAAGTGTGCTGTCTGTGTTGCTGTGTATGCTTATGACTGTGCTTGTTTGCGTGTTGTTGTGTATGTCGCAGCTGGCTCTCCTCAACCCCATAGAGAATCCCGACCTGGAACTGGCCATCGTCATGCTCATCGTTCCGTTCTTCGTCAACGTAAGTCTGCTGTTACTATGTGTTTTTCTTTGATTTTACAGCTCTTGCAACACGAACACCACGTGTCTTGTGAGGTTCTGTTATTGGGTACCTAAATCATCCCTGTTTGTTCATATAATGGCTATCATCTTGTGTGTGTTTGAACATAAAACAAATCTTCACAGTTTTGGTGGATAATATAAAAATCACTTCTGTTGATTCCCCATCGGGAAACATAATACATCACAGTATTTGTTTTGTTTCATTTAGGCCCTCATGTTCTGGGTGGTGGATAATTTCCTAATGAAGAAGCACAAGACAAAAGCAAAGCTGGAGGAGAGAGAGGAGGACTCACGGGGGAACAGCAAGGTGCGCTACAGAAGAGCCCTGTCCCATGATGACTCAGAGTCAGAGGTAAGTCTCACTGAAGACAGAATCCGTTTTTGTTCATAAAACACACAAACAGTTGAAGTTGTCATCGAATGTCCATTGGCACAGAAGTTGCCTCTCCCAAATGTTTCTTTACTCCAAAATCCCACTTCTGAGCTTCTGAAACAAAGCTAATGACGTATTCTTTTGACTGTCTGTGGTTCCTGGTCTCCACTGCTGACTGGCACCCTGTTATGGACAAACTTACTCTTGGTATTAATTCAGCACACCCACGGTCAGAAGAGAGAGATGCCTTAAAGCTGTTATAGCTGGCTAGATCAAGGTTCCCAGTTACTTCATAAGCTTGTAAAGCAGATGAGCCCAACGCAGAGCTCTGCGTCACACACACTATTCACATTCCCACATAACACACAAAGTCATAACACAAGTCTGGTCTAAATCTAAACTACTACATCCAGCACTCTTGACACATAATAAGTTATTGATAGGTACAGCTGAACAGTGAGAGGAAAAGGGGAGAGACAGAACGGGTTCAAGGGAGTTGAATCTGGCCACTGCAGCAGACTTTTTATGCTAACCTTTTTACTTGCTTATTTTATGTCCTTGCTATTGTTTCTTTGTAATTTAGTCCAAAACTGTCTTTAATAGGCTGTAAATACTGATTTATCCAACATTTAGAAAAATATGCAATTAAAAAAGGTTATCAATAAAATCCATTTAAAGAAACAGTGATCACCTGCTTGTTAGCGTTGATAGCAGCTGGTAATGAATGGTAATGTTTATTCATAACTCAAACATGCTGCACTGCCCTTTAAACTCCTGTTGAATAAGCTGTTCAACATGTGATATTGTTCTTCCTGTGGTCAGATAATGAGGCAGAGTATAGGTCAGACAGAGGTCAAGAGGAAGTGATCAGGTATGCAGGTGGATTTTAGCTGCTGATTTCTGTTTTCTGAGGGTGGCACAACACAGCGGGCCGTGGCACAATAGATAACACGTCTGACTTTGAATCAGAAGATCCTTGGTTTGCCACCCAGCTGGCTCGTGAATACATTTTCACATTGTTGTGTTGATCCATTGGCCGGTATCACTATGTTGGGCTGGGTATAGCAAACACAAGATAATCACTGTCCATGGCCAGTCAACCAAGATTTTTTAGGTTAGTCAAATGACGGCCGTAATCAAAACCAGATACCCTTTGGCCATGTTTCTGCGTTCTGTCCTTGAACCTACTGCAGGGAGATTTTAACCAGTCATGAAACAGTCTCAATTTAATACTAATGCCTCTGTATGACCTACATAAGCACATAAGAGCATCAGCAAGAAGCCTATTTATAGGCTGTTTCTATATAGTTATTCCTAATGTCTGCCACCAGCTCGGATTTGCTCAAATAACTCTTGAAATCGAACGAGGATATGGAAACACTACTGCTTTTGTCCACAGGGGCCCCCAGAATGGACACAAAAAGCAAGTTTGTTGTTGCTGCTTTAAATTGTGGATTCATCATCTATTTTGGGGACATTTAACTTTTAGTAAAAACAACATCAAGATCAAGTTGTGTCAAAGGTTGTGAAAACACAAGTTCAGTGACTTCCTGTTCACGAAGGAACAAAAGTGCCACAGCACAGCCTTCAAGGCAGTTCTGCTTTTTTATTAATTAAGTCATCACGAAAGTGGAAAGCCAAGTTTCATTTTTATTTTACAACAGACAACAAAAATATACAACTGCTGTTTAGACTTTATTTCTGAAATCAGGTCTTCATTCTGTTATAAACACTCGTTTTGTAGTCAGTAGCCACATTAGTTTTTAGATCATAAAACGGAATGTGAAGTTGCTTTTCAAGACATTATTACATTTGAATGATCAAAGCAGTGAAGACAAAAGCCAGCGTCACGGTTTGTTTCACCACGTGTGTGCGTGCTGCAGCTGGCCTGAGTGCGCTTTCAGCAGAGTGCTGTGCAGTGGGGGGGATGGGATGGGCTGGGACACATTTATTGTTTCAGCAGCAGAGTGAGTCTACAGCGGGCCAGTGGCGCAATGGATAACGCGTCTGACTACGGATCAGAAGATTCTAGGTTCGACTCCTGGCTGGCTCGTGTCTTTTTCGTCCTACTGTTGTGATTAGGCTGAAATGCAGCATCAGCTTATGTTGATTATCAAAATAGAATAACCACTAGTTCCACTTACTGACTTATTTAGTAAAGTGACAGCATTACCTCATATACAAAGACACAGTACAAGAGATACTAAAGACGTTAATCTATACATTTACGTAATGTTTACTGTATAGTGTACTCTCTTGATTAGCATACTTTTGCTTTTGAGGATTAGAGGCATATTACTGAATTATTATGAAGGGAAAACATTAGAGGAATTTTTATCTCTTGTTTCACACACATTAGTTGGATTAACTGATTGATCAATTTATTAAAGGCCTTTACATGCAATGCTGATTCTCCACATGAGGCTGAAGGATTGTCAAAGGTCAAGGCAGCTGAAAAATACTACATAAACACAATGAACATTCATTTATTTGTACACATTAGGTAACAGCATGGAAAAAGAATCACAGCTCTTATTTGAGCTTGATATGTTTCCATTTTTTAAAGTCTGTCTCTTTAGACCACCAACCTTATGGAAGTGAATTACTAAATGGCTGGACGTTTTTTATTAGTCACAGCAGATTCTTGGAGATTTACATCGTATCCTCATTGGAAGTGGAAAAAGTCAGTCGATGGAAAGTCAACCAGAATACTGTGATATTGTGATAGACTCCATGAACCAGCCTCCCACTAATATTCACCTCACTTTCCTGTCCTTCAGATCCTTTTCTCAGCAGACGATGAAATGGATGAGTCGGATGAGGATGACGTTCGACGGCTCACTGGCCTGAAAACGGTGAAGAAGAAGAAGCTTCGCATGGGGATCCCTGTTTGACCTGCGTGCCTAGCTAAACTGCTACGATCAAATTTCCTCCGGTAGCTGTTCACCTCACGGGCTCACATATACTTTCCCAATACCTCCACAGATTCTGTATCAGCCTTAGGAGCTGACACCATCCATTATAGGACGCCCTTTGATGACAGAAGAATATACTGTAATTGAATTCCCTTTATTGTTGACTTCTGGAGGACTTCTGCGTAAGCTGTCTAACCTGGGATTTCAATTAACACACTGGGAGATGTTGCTTCGATTGGCCAGGTACTTCGGATCACTGTTGCATTTCGACATGACACTCCTGGGGCGAGTGTTGTGTTTAAAGACACTGTTTGGGAAAAAGAATCCCACCATAAACATACATAATATTGTTAAATACTTTATGCACGTATATTAGGAAAACATTAACACTGGGTTAATACTGTTTGGACTTCTGTGGCAGCTTGTATGGGTGCAGTGGGACAAATCTAAATGGCCACAACAGAACCAAACATCATGCAGACAGAACGGTTAAAGGGGTTGGGTGCATTTGATAGTCTAATATGTGCTCTAAAGTGATTGTATTCCTGATGTAGATTACATGTACATTTTGTCCTTTGTTTTCTCTTGTAGATGTACCACCATTGGCCTGTGGTGTGTGTGTGTGTGTGTGTGTGTGTGTGTGTGTGTGTGTTTGCACATGTGTGTATGTGAGGGCGTGTACAGTTGGACACACCTCAAATTTAGAGGAGCATTACGTCAGAGTGTTTGAATCACTGTGTTGATGCAACTCTTAACACTTTCCAGCAGAGTTACACACTTTATTACTGCATATCTTGTATGTAATGTTACTCGTGTCAAAGGGAACAAAGTTACGCCTGCAGCAACCTTCCATTTTTATCCTCTGACAGAGTCCTTTCAACTGTTAAACCTGTAGGACTGCAAGCATAACACTGCAGCATCCTTCTAATATCAGCTCAGCCGGTGTTGTCTGTCTGTAGACACAAGACCGCAGTCTCAGTTTGTCTGTGACAGTTACTGATGTGTTCTGACTGTGTGTTCTTTGTCTTTTGAGTGTCTTTTGTGTCATTTTAACTTGTTTTATATAGGATTTGAGTGTTATTTTCGGGCCAAATAGGTGACTATGCTTGTTCCAAAAGTGTTCTTTATTCCTTCACTCCAACGGGGAGAGTAGATATGGGAACCATTTCTTGCACAATTTCCCATTTATCACAACTTTCATCTTTCCTTTTATATTTGTGTTTTTTTTGGTGTTTTGTTACGATAATGTGCCTGAGTGAAATTACCAGCAGCAGGTATTTTGTTTGTTTTTTGTTTGTTTGATTTACCTTTTTTTGACAGTTTTTTTCCAGAGCTCCAGATTCAGGCATGAAGCAGCATTCAGCAGGCTCTGATGTTAAGAATGTGACATGCATAGACCTCTAAACTGTTAAGTGACTGTGGGCCAGACAGTCAGGAGAAAGTGTGAGAGTGTGTGAGAGTGTGTGAGAGTGTGTGAGAATGTGTGAGAGTGTGTGAGAGTGTGTGGGAGGGTGTGGGAGGGTGTGGGAGGGTGTGTGTTGGTGTGCCAGTATACCTGTATGTAGCGGCGTGTTGCGTGCTCTGAGTGCATGTGCTCCAAGTGTGCACAGTCGGTATGACTGCTGGTCCTCTTTAAAGTAAATGGAGAGTGGCACAAACTGTGACTGTGATGACTATGGTAATGGTGATTATTTCATTATGATGTTTTTGGCATGTTGGCAAGGAATAAATGACTGTGCATTTCAAAAGAGGAAAGTACAGCATCTCGCAACAGTTAAGGTAACTCTCAGCTCAACCAGGACAAAGAGGGCTCTTAGTATTAGTATTTTGCAAAGTGAAACTACTACAGGATTTAAAAGGCGAATGATGGAGGTAAATTATCATTACAAATGCTTTTACAATAAAGGATGAGATACACTATCTTGACAGCTGCCTTATTCCTAATGTAGTTTGATGTTGATGTTTCTGTACTGTATTACGAGATTTCTAGAAAAGCGTTCCCTGACCGGGAATCGAACCCGGGCCGCGGCGGTGAGAGCGCCGAATCCTAACCACTAGACCACCAGGGAAAGTATCACCTTAAAGCTGTGTCGTCGTAATATAAAAGTGGTACCGCTTGACTTGAGCGATTCGTGTGAGTAAACGGTTTACTTTGTTTATGCTTTACCACTTGATGCAGCGTTTCGACGCGTATACAGCACAAATTTGGGGATCACTCGCCATCAGAACCACCCGACCTCCACTTATAGCTTCTTACTAATACCTAAGGGAAGACACACGTTTAGCGTCAGGAGTCATCCTTCAGAAGCTCTTAAAAAATACATCTTGGCTCATCAGCTTCATTTAACACACAACCGCCTGTTTTCCATGATGTAATATTTTGACTGACACAAGCATGTCTTTATTTGTGTTTGTTGTTTTTAATCCATCCCCAGTAACAGCAAGTATGATGATTGTAAAAGCCACTGCTGGAGCTTCAAGTACAGGCTGTAATAAAACCATAAATTGTTTGAGGAGGTTGAGAGATATATTTAAGTGGCTCATGCTGTGCTCATTACCTTCAGCCTTGCACTAATAAGCACCTGTGCACACACTCACTTTTTACTGTGAGACTTAGGTGGCTAACATAACAACTTTGACCAGATTCACCAATAATCACACACGAAGAGTTAGATTGTGTGTTTGTTTGTTCATTCAGAGGCTATTCTCTCAGATTGATGTGTGCAGGGTGCAGTCTTCCAGATTCTCTCTGCGTCGCTGAGTTTGTCATTTTAAAATAGTGAGTCAGTTTGTCCATGACACAGTTAACTCCTCAGTTTCAGATTATGATGCCAAGTCTTATGACTTCTATTACCTTGACCAGCCTAAAATATATCTTGTCATCACAAGAAAATGTAAGCAAAAGAACATATGAAATGGACATAAGACATTTTATATTAACATTTTCAGAAAGTAAAGGTGGTTATTAGTAAATGTGCCGGTTCTGAAATGTATGATTGACCTCAAGCTGGCATGACCACCTTGTTGTCTTTCTTATTGCCGGAGACAATCTGGTCACTTTAACAGAGAGATTTTAGTGGAAAGAAATGACTATAGGTACTCAATTTAAACCATACTGCACATAATTTATTTATCTAAACATAGCATGGGCAAAAAAATATCTATATACACTTATTTGTACTTACCAAGAAACTGATTATATATATTCTAACATGATATATTATATATTTATTGTAGCTACTCATGACTTGAGTGCTAACTGCCTATTACCCAAATTAGAAAAGCTGCAGCCTTCCTGTGACTCAAACAAGACAGCAAGATAGTTATCTGAGCTCTTGTCTTAGTTCATTTTGTTGGTCCATGTGGTAACTGTCTAGAAATGCCATTTACAAGAACCCAAAAGACATTCCCTCAGGCCTAAATCAAGTTGTAGCAATGGGCAGGCAGAGGCCCAACCACTGGAGCTTCAGGGAGGTGTTGCAGGGCGGTGGACACTCTCGATACCTGTTTTAGTGCCAAGTCCCTCACCAACATTAAAAATGGTGTATCTCTGCCAGGGGGGGCGACAGCCTCTTGTGTTGTGTCAGAATTATCAGCTGTTGGCCTGTAAGCTTATCGTAAAAGATGGAAGACCGTTCCAGCTGTACCATCCCTCACGTCACAGCTAATTATACACACTGACAACAGGCAGAGTGGGACAGGAGGTAGGGGGTCTGAGTGATTCACTGGGTCTGGACCAGGACTATATATAATATCAGGCTTGCTGGGAGACAAAGACCCACACTGGAAAAACAACCAGCGAATCTATCACACTGGAAAGAGGTGTCTGTGGAATCAATACATCGACTTCAATCACCATGTCACAGGTAAGTTACATCAGGTCAAATATGCTGTTGAGGATTTACAGAAATTGAACCCAGTGCTTTAAGTGTGACGACAAAGCCTTTATTTTCCTTCTTTTCACCCTTAACCTTCACATTCCCCCTTTCTGTCTTTACTTCACTGCAGCCAGGCGAGGTGAAGAAGAAGAAACGTCCCCCGATGAAGGAGGAGGACCTGAAGGGAGCCCGCAGTAAACTGGGACTGAAGGGCGAGGTTAAGAGTAAGACGTATGAGGTCATGGTTGAGTGTGGTGAGTAAAGCATTTTATTAATGTCGTTTCCTCTGACACTGAAAGACAAAACAAGTGATGTGACGCCATGTCAGATGTTAACACTTTGTATTCTTACAAATGTAATATTTCCCCACAGAGAATTTGTTAAGGTGCTTCTGTTTGGTTTGGTTTCTCCTGTAGACCTCAAATATCAAACTTCTTGACAGTGTTATTTAACTTAAACAGTGAGTAACATGATAGGGTGGTCACTGGTGGTTCTTTGGCCTCTTCCATGGAGAACATAAAAATTTCTTGATTACTTGGCCTATGCTGACATGCATGACTGATGCAGAGTTAAAATTAATAAATAAATGTTACAGAAGGAAATAAAAATAGATTTCTAGAAATGTACCAATAAATGAAATGTTTTTTTATTTCCAAACTAATAAGTAACATGTATGTATTCATTCATGCATTTAATTAGGCATTTCTGTGTTAATTTTAACATTTGTATATGTATATTTATTTGTATATTAGGCTATTTACGATATGTACTTTTTATGTATATTTATGTCATACGTACTTAGAAAAATGTTGGTGTCTGTCCGTCACACCCCGCTGAGGTAATCCTGGTTTCCAGTAACAATATTATTGCTGCCAACGTAGATATTTCTTTAATCACCGAATCTGACACAAAACAGTGTTCCCTGACCGGGAATCGAACCCGGGCCGCGGCGGTGAGAGCGCCGAATCCTAACCACTAGACCACCAGGGACAGATGTAGAATGCCGAAGCATTGCATTATTTTCAACACATGTATGCGTGTGTACGCAGCTGAATGAGCTAACACACTTTTACATTTGGCGCTATACAGATAAAATTTAATTGAATTGAGTCTGTTATTCCAGACACAATCCAAATACCATTCAGCAGCAGAAGTTCATTCTTGATAAGTCTATTATAATATTTCCTAATTTTTTAATAACTTCAGGCTCTTTGCTCACATTCTGAGTAATCTGCAGCGGCCTTCAAAAATGTGCCCTTGCTAACACCATCCACCTGCTGCATTTGCACAACACCCACCCATTGTTTGGCAGCAGAAACAGCCAGGCACCAGTTTGTTTTTGTGCCCTTTAAACTTTACCCACCCACACAAATGTTGACTCATGTCTTCAGTCTATATTTGTGTGTGGTAAGAATCTAAATTAAAAGCCAATGATTGTCTGCAGTTCACAAATTCCAACCTCAGAGATAATTTTACAACATTTTAAAATATTTGCCAGCTGAATGATTAAAGAGGATCACGTGAGTTGGAAATGTTTATGAAAATCTTAATTGTTCAGCTGGGAATCGGACTAGAGCCACCTGCGTCCTAAACAGGACCAGAAACTGTTGCGTCGGTCACATACTTCCTTAAGAGACATCTGAGTAGAATTTCTATGACTTCTTGAGGATGGGCAGTCTCCTGGTTAAGATAAGATGTTCCTTTATTGATCCCCCGTAGGAGAAATTCAAATATGAAGTTTTTCTGACCATACATATCTGTATCTCTGTCTGTGTCTAGAACGTATGGGCAAAACGGCTCCATCAGTGTTCAGCGGTGTGAGGACGGGGACAGAGACGGCCCTGGATAAGCCTGCTGCTGCTAAGGCTCCTGGAGCCAGTGTGTTCAGCAAGTAGTAGACACACTGCAGGACACAGCAATTGCAATGAAGAAGCACTGTAGTCTTTATGTTTCTGGGTCAGTGGTGATGTTGCATAACATGGATTTCAAAACCTTTTTTTCTTTTTCTTTTTTAATGACGTGGGATTCAAGAGAGACAAACTTTGCAGTTTGCACAGTGCATCAGGTGACCTGGCTTAGGTTTGGTTTCATGTGGCTGATGAGCTGTACATTTGGTTATTTGTTCGCGTTTTGTACCTGACCTTTTTTCCTGAATAAATTATTTCCCCCTGTATTGATATATAAAAAATATTATTTTAGGTTGTAAACTTCAAAAGAGGGACATTTCTGTGTAATATATTTATGGTTTGCAATGCGGGTGAACTGTAAATGTGGCATGGTAACGTCTTCAAGTGTCAACTTAAGACCTCTACAACAGCACAATCATAATGATCAACCTGAAGTGCTAAATAATGCTGGCAAACACAACATAAAAACACATAGGGCCTGTTCTGTCAGCACTTGCATGCAAATGGGTTGAGCGGAGTAGAATATAAATAGCAGGCATGTGAGGATTAATCTAGTCTTTGGTAAGTTTGAATCTCAATATTAATTGTTACGTTTGGATGAAGACAGTACCTCTAAATTATTCAAGCTTCTACATTTTTAATTTTTTTTTTTAAAAGTTTTTGGGTGATAAATTGTTTATTTTTTCATTATTACATCTAGTGGTACATGTAGCTCTGACTTATGAATTACATTCAACTATAGTATAGTATAGCTATAGCTATATTGTGATGCTTCCACTAGTAATCTTAAATTATTATTTATTGTGCCTTCAGTAGATAAATAAAACAACACTTGACTTTTTTTTCCAATTTAAAAAGTAGCATAAATAAGTGATCAAACCTGGATCGCTACTCAGGAAAAGCCGGCCACTAACCCTGTTGCTAGACCTTCAGGGGGCAAAGACTCACATTGTGGCAATTTTAATGATTCATGATAATTTAAAGCTGCTTTAATACATATTTTTATATGAATGAATCACACGACTATGTTTATTTGAGAAGGATTGCTCATATAGTGACAAACCCACAGACAATTATCACTGGACTTTGCAGTTCTCCTCAGTAGGCTACTAAGGAGCCTTTTAGTGTCTCTCAGCTCGTGGACAGTTGTTTTCAGATAAAAAAGCTCAGATAAACCCAACATACACCACTGGCTCAGCACCAAACAGCAGACCGAGCAGGTTAGCACAAGGCTGGGGACCCTAGTGTAGCATTTAGCAACTAAACAGTCAGATATTTCATTCAGAAGACTCACTGTTTAAGTTAAATTACGCTGTCATTCAGATTTCCTTATAGCACTTTACATAACACACACAGGCTGTTGAGGAATAACTCAGCAAATAGTTTCCACCAACACCTATTTAAACATATACAGACCTGTTGGTCATTACTCCAAGGCAACACACACACACACACTTTTTGTCCCTCCCACTGGGCAGACAACTTTTTGTTGTGAAGTCAGTCACTGTTCAGCAGAACTTTGGTCATGTCTGGACTGCTGGGTGTTCGACTGTTGCTGCTGTGGGGCAGCGCCTGCCTTTGGCTGCCCGGCCTCGCCCGGGGATCTCTGTTCATCTCCGGGGCCCATGAAGCTCTGCAGGTAACACACTGACTTTTTATACTCTGATCATAATTTGAAATCACATAATTTTATAGATGAAGTTTAATTTTGCGAGTATTCATTTAATGTGGTGGCTCCTGATCTGTTTCCTTATGAATAATCTCTGGAACACAAACTGTGCTCCTTCGGTCCTACTTTGCATATTAAACCCTACTCAGTTTTACTATTATATTTCTCCTTCCAACTTCTTCTCTTTGTGACACAGAATATAAAGTTTTTCTTACAAGCTACCTCATGTAATGTCAGTGTTTGTTTCTAATATCTTGGCACCATGTTGGTTCACTCTGCTGTATTTGTATTTCAGGAGACAAGAGGAGCTGCCAGATCACTGCAGGTATTTGAGAGAAACTACTTAGAGACAGACAGTCCTTTCATATAATGGTGAAATATTTCTGTTTGTACATTATGTACCAAGCTTGTAGTCATTGATAAATAACGTAACTGAATCATAATTACATAACTTAACCATTAAAATGAAATAAATATGGCTATATTTAAAGAGGTACATACATAATTAATTTATTAATAACATTAAGTAACAGTGGTAGTTGAAATTATCAACTTTGCGTAGTCTTAAATTTTGATTTTCCACATCTAAAAAGAATATTATCTAATTTAGCTTTTTGGTTTTTGTTGCAGAAACGAAGTACAACTGAGGTCACGGTAAGAAAAAAATCTGTTTGATGATGAGAAATATTAAATTCAGTTCAATACAACTTAGATAGAAGATAGAATAAGAAAGAAACAATACTAATCATCAAACCAGCAGAAGATGTATTTGAAATAATAAATAAATATAAATAAATGAGAAAACAACCTAGAAACTATGTAGGCTGTACAAGAGCACAGAAAATTACCGATACAGCTCAGAGCTAAGAGTAGCCATTACTTTTACAGGCAGGTAAATCTAGCGACGTCCTGGTAGGATCAGTATGTTTATTGATTTCCTGTGATTTGTCATAAAAAGACCTCAGATCTCTCTGTTTGACTCCAGTCATCTTTACTGTTAACCGCACCGTTCAGGCTGTTTCTGTCCTTCGCTGACAGGCTGCCCACCAGCAAAAAACAGTAAAGCTCAACAGACTCTCAACAAGAGACTGAACAACTGAGAATAACTGAACTCACACTGAACAAGAGTTTAGTTTTCAAATATCCACACTATCCCTCCTTAGAACACACAGCACCCAGGTTGACTCACCCAGTCTGCAAGATCACAACACTCCCAAAGTGGAATCAGTGACATGTCTTTTTAAAACATTTTTTCAAGCTGTTTTTTCTTTTTTTTCTTTGGCACCAGTCAGGGCAGCACTTTGTGGACTGGATCCAGCTGCAAAAACTGTCTGAAATGACATAAAAATAGCAGTTCTAACAGTGATTCACTGTATGAAAATGCTGAATGTGAAGTGCTTGTGATAGGAGGCTTCTCATACTCATTAGTGTTTAAATATTTCCATGTCCTTCTCCTTCTCCCTCGGTCTCAGGTGGAGGTGTACAGTGTGACAGTGGACTGCACTGTGACGTCTCGTTTCGCTCACACCGTCATGACCTCCAAGGCTCTGAACAAAGCAAACACCTCCCAGGAAATCTTCTTTGAAATGGAGCTGCCCAAGACTGCCTTCATCACTAACTTCAGCATGTCAGTGTGTCTCCACTCAAATGTTCACTCTGTTCCTCCTTGTATTGTGACCATTTGTGTGTGACAGCATTTATCCCTTTTCTGTTTCCCAGTTGATTTTTCTTCATGATACAGTTAGAGTTTGACCAGTTTCCTTAAGTTTCCTCATGTCATTCTCCATCTTTGTGCCTCACAGGGAAATTGACGGTCAGGTGTATGTTGGTGAGGTGAAGGAGAAAGAGAAAGCCAAGAAAGAGTATGAGAAGGCTGTTTCCTCTGGACAGACTGCTGGACTGGTCAAGTGAGTCATGATGGAAAATAGGAAACCCTAGTATTGTGAAAGAAAGAAACATATAGTATCAACATTTTTATATCCTTCCATTAGAGGTTGTCAGTTGAGTCTGTGTTTTTATACAGGGCTTCCGGAAGGAAGATGGAGAAGTTTTCAGTGTCTGTTAACATTGCAGCCAAAAGTAATGTGACTTTCATTCTGACCTACGAGGAGCTCCTTCAGAGGAAACAGGGCCAGTATGAAATTCTGACCCGAATTAAACCCAAACAAGCAGTGCAGGAGTTTCAGGTGAATCAGGGTTCACGTTCAAATTCTGCCTCTTGGTGATTTCAGATATTCTAAATGAGTGGTTTACTGAACAAATGTTCTCTGTCTCTGTGTGTGTTTGCCTGTGTGGAGACAGATTGTGACAAACATCTATGAGCCTCAGGGCATTTCTTATGTTGATGCCCATGCAACATTCCTCTCCAATGAGCTGCTCCCTCTGGTGGAGAAAACTGTCACTGACAACAAGGTACACGATACAACAGGCCTTGTCTCTGTTTTTTCCTGTCCTTTTATTCACATTAACAGTAAAATGACTGACCCCAGATTAAGAGTATTGACCGTATTGTATCCCATTGTCAGGCACACATCTCTTTCTCACCAACTCTGGAGCAGCAGAGGAAGTGTGCGAGTTGTGATGAAACGCTCATCGACGGAGATTTTATCATCAAGTATGATGTGAACCGAGTAGCGGGCCTCGGGGACATTCAGGTCAGCTCTCAACAAATACTGCACTCAGTATCTGCTGAATGTGCATTTAACTATATGCTTACTTAACTATACAGATTCACTTTAACACTGAATTCTAAAACAAAATTGATGAATCTGTAATTAGATTGCCCGACAGCATGAAAAGAATCAATCATATTTTAGGGAAAACATTGCCATTCTAATTTTTCCTTTATTCTTACATGTATGTTAGTGTTCCTTATGATTATCTCCCCTTCAGATTGTGAATGGATATTTTGTGCACTTCTTTGCTCCACCTGACCTGCCCAGAGTCCCTAAGAATGTAGTGTTTGTGATTGACAGAAGTGGATCAATGAGTGGAAGAAAGATGGTACAGGTGAGAGTCTGTTCAGACTGTTAATGTGCTTCTAATATACTGATGCCCATATTTTGACCTCTAACCTTGTAACTTTTGTTACTGTAGACACGAGAGGCATTGCTGGCTATCCTCAAAGATCTCCATGAGGAAGACTACTTTGCCCTCATCCAATTTGATGACAGAATCGATTCCTGGCAGAAATCACTCACCAAAGCAACCAAGGAAAATGTGGATCAAGCCATGATCTATGTCCAACAGATAAATTACCGTGGAGGTTAATAGAAAAACAAGTGACAGTAACTTAACTCAACTGCCTAAATGATAGAAATACACTCATACATTACACAATTTGGTGTGTGTTTCCCTTCTAGGAACTAATATCAATCAAGCAGTGTTGACAGGCGTGGAGATGCTGCTCAAAGATAGGAGGGAGAAGAAACTTCCAGAGAGGAGCGTTGATATGATTATTTTATTGACTGATGGAATGCCTAATTCGGGTGAGAAAGCAACTTGTGTCCATCCAACACTGTATATTTGTGTGGGTGCTCATTTGATTGATGCAATTTAACATTACATTCCTGCATATTGTATCTGTGCGCTTAAAGGAGAGTCCCATCTCCCAAGGATCCAAGAAAATGTGCGTTCTGCTATAAGAGGAAACATGTCTCTGTTCTGTCTTGGATTCGGAAATGATGTGGATTACTCTTTCCTGGATGTGATGAGCAAACAGAACAAAGGACTGGCCCGCAGAATTTTTGAGGGTTCAGATGCAACACTTCAACTTCAGGTGAAGGGTCTAGGCCATGAATACATTTTGGGGCCAATTTTTGCATTCTTGTTCAAAACTGTGTCACATTCCTCCACAATATGTAATCACAGTGCTTTTATTCCAGGGTTTCTATGATGAGGTGTCCAGCCCTCTGCTTTCAGACGTGGACATGCGTTATCCTGACAATGCAGTGGAATCGCTGACCACCAACCACTTTAACCAGTTGTTTAACGGCTCAGAGATCGTGGTAGCCGGTCGGCTGATGGACAACGACCTGGACAACTTCCTGGTGGAAGTGTTCGGCCAGGGGGTGAGGAGAAGAAAACGGCATAAACTTAGAGACAATGCTGAGAGAAGATGTTTTTATTTCTTCTACTTTTCTCTCCCCTGTAGTTTGAGGAGGACTTCATTGTGCAGGGACAGGCCAGTACTGTGGACTGGGGCGTGATGTACCCAGATGAAGAGTATATCTTTGGGGATTTCACAGAGCGTCTGTGGGCCTACCTCACCATCCAGCAGCTACTGGAGAAGAGGTCAGTTTGGGTAATTTCACTCTGCTTTAGCCAAGAAATATTTATTTCCTATTGGTCTCATGAAACTCTTTGTTAATGATATTTTGGGCATCGTCTGAGAGCCCCTGATAAATCTTGTAATATTCATTTATAGGTTCTGTTGTGGGTTTCTCAATGTCAGAGTCATATGTGGCAATTTCAGTAAATTGTTTTTCATGCAGCAAAAGTGGTGCCACAGACGAGAAAGCCAACGCCACAGCCAAGGCCCTGGACATGTCTCTGCAATACAGCTTTGTCACCCCACTCACCTCGATGGTGGTCACCAAACCTGAAACTGAGGACGGCACAGACACCCCCTCTCATTGCTGACAAGCTGACTGAGGGTAAGGGATGGAAAGAGAGGGTTTAAAACGTGATACTAAATAGGCTTTTCTGAACATGGCTGCAGTCAAGCTTTTTCTTCATAAGCAGAACTTACTGTTAAATTCTATTTTCTCAGCTATACCAGCAGAGGCTGGTGCTCCAGTATGAACTAGAATTGACCATGATGTTTTTGTCCATCTGTTTTTTGACAGAGCAAAGACAACAGGCAGAAAGAAACAGTATGTCACATCTTTTTTTAACCATATATTATTAAAAAGACATTCTGAGATGATTAAGTCAATGCACTGCATTTATTCTAACTTGAATTATATTGTTCCTGTGTGTAGTACATCGAAATTTACCTGTAACCCCCGTAAGCCATACTTACTCGTCAGCACCAACATATTTTGGTGAGTATATCTTTAATGCTTGCTGTCTGACAATATCTGTCATGTCCATCACAACAACTGTTAGATACATTACTAAGAACTTTTGTACAGTCCTAATGACTTGACTGATGCCTCCTTTTCATTTAGCACCATCAGCAGGTAAAAATCTTTTCCTATGCAGTGAAATATCTCAACATCCACTATATAGATTGTCACAAAATGTTTGGACAGTTATTCATGGTCCTCACACTCCCAAAGGCACCCACTCAATTTTGGTGGTAGCAAATGTTAACATGCTAACACGCTAAACTGTCATTGGTTAACACCGTCATTGAGGGCATGTTAGCATTCTGACATTAGTGTTTAGTGCGCCTTACAGAGCTGCTAGCATGACTGTAGACTCTTGGTGTTGTTGAAATGTTGTCATCAGCATGTTGAGCTTATACTGTGATTTTACTCTGGTGTCACCTGCAGTGGACGGAGATCCTCATTTCATGATCGAGCTGCCAGACAGAGATGACGCTCTGTGCTTCAACGTCAACGACAAACCAGGAACCATTTTCAACCTGGTCAGAGACCCAAACTCAGGTTAGCCCCAAGTCCTAAGATGCGGCTCCTTGTGTATTTTTTTTTTTTCCTTTTAACTACACATGTAGACCTAATACTCCACACCGTTAGTTTGTGACTGAATCCCATGTTGTTTCCTCAGGTATTTTGGTGAATGGCCAGATTATCGGAGACAAGAAGATTCCCCCTGATGGTAAAATCAACACCTACTTTTGGCGTTTTGGCATCATCCACCAGACTCTGGGGGTGAAGCTGGAGGTGGACACTGAGGTCATCTCGGTGTTCCAGGACGGCAAATGGGTTAAGCTGCTGTGGTCTGATGCAGCTTCTCTCAAGGGACTCAAGTGAGTGGTGGCATTTCTGGTACAGCCTCAAACTGGTTTCATTCCTATTTGACTAATAGAGTCTTTATTGTTTGCATAAATAATCATGTTTCCTCCTCTGCTCCTCTGCTGTGTGGTGTCCCTCAGGGGTCGATTCTTGGTCCAGTTCTGTTTTCCCTGTACATGCTTCCTCTGGGTCATTTGTTCAGCCGCTTCCATGACATGTCATACCACTGTTATGCCGATGATACACAGATAATAATTTTCTCCACCTAAACCACCTGACAAAACTGAAATAATTGTTCTGGGCCCTGAAAACTTTGTCACTGCAGTTGATCAGTTTATTGGACCATTACGCACAAATATCAAACCCACTGCTAAGAATCTGGGTATCATCTTTGACCAGTATATGACATTTGACCTTCATGTTACAAAACTTGTCCAGTCCTGTTTCCTGCAGCTACGAATTATTGCAAAAATAAATAATATAGTATAAATAAAGTTTCTTGTCCTCCAGTGATCTCACACTATTAATTCACACCTTCATTTTCTCCCATCTTGATTAATGCAATTCCTTCTACACGTGGCTCATTCAAGCTTCGTTAAATCGTTTACAGTTAGTACAAAATGCAGCCGCCAGACTTTTTAACCACAATTACTCCTGTTCTCACATCCCTTCATTAGCTTCCTGTAAAATTCAGAATCAACTATAAGATCTTACTGATTACATATAAGACACTTCATGACCTTGCCCCCAGTTACATTTCAGATCTCCTTGTTCCTCATTCCACTCCTCGGCCACTTCGCTCCTCAAATCTATAATCCTTTAATCCATTCCCTGCTCTAACTGTAAAACTAAAGGTGACTGTGCCTTCGCTGTTTTAGCCCCAACATTGTGGAACAGTCTTCCCTAATCACTGAATCTGTGGACTGTTTTAAGTGGCTCCTGAAAACCCATCTCTACAGGCAAACCTTTTTATAGATCTCCTTGTTTGTTTTCTCATCTGTCGCCTCTCTTTTAATTTTCCTTCCCCCTTGTTTTATCCTCCTTATGTTTGTCTTTACATGCTCTCTATGTATGTTTGATTGGGTATGGTTATGCATGTACATATTTATATGGTATACCCGCATGTATGTTTGTTATTTGTAAAGCACTTTGGACCTCTGTGTTAAAAAGGTGCTATATAAATAACGCTTTACTTACTTACTTACTTATTTACTTACCATCACATCTCCCCCAGTGAAAGAGAATTATCCCTTTACATGAGAAATATGAAATGTGTAATCCAGTTCAGAATCATTAATAAACATCTTCTCCTCCAGTGTGGATCTTCTCTTGACCAAGGATCGCAGCCTAACGGTAACTCTTAAAGATTCAGTCAAATTTGTCATCCTGCTACACAAAGTGTGGAAGAAGCACCCATACCACCGGGACTATTTGGGTTTCTACACCCTGGACAGCCACCTCCTGTCCCCGTCTGTTCACGGCCTGCTAGGTACAACATGACACACACGTTAGAGAATAGACTGCATGGTTTAAGGTTTAATTAGCAGGTCTAAAGAAGTGATATCGATTTAGTTTCAGTTGTTGTGGTTTATATTAAAAAAAAGATCATGCTAAAATACATTGACACAGACTCAATCAGGAAACACTGGGGTTGTTACCTTATGATATAATGAAGCTCAAATTATTTTGGCATTTTGCAACTATTACTAGTGGAGAGACACAGCGCCAGAATGATTATATTTGTGGTCTTGGTTCATCCTCCAGGTCAGTTCTACCATGGGATTGAATATGAGGTGACAAACCTGCGTCCCGGTGAAGTCCCAGAGAAACCAGACGCCACCATGTTTGTGAAAGGACAGGAGCTCAATGTGACCAGGTACACTACATTGCTCTGTGCATGTAATGTTAATTTAAATTAATATTTGTTCTTGATATATCATTTGTTCAACATGACATTTGTGTGTCTGTCCACAGAGGCTGGCAGAGAGACTTCAGGAGGGATATGAAGAATGGAGAAAATGTTCCCTGCTGGTTCATTCACAGTAATGGAACCGGCCTCCTTGATGGAGATGCAACAGACTACATTGTGTCGGGCCTTTTTAAAACTGTTTAAAAAGAGGTTACACATCAGTGTCTACCACAGAAATCATCCAAATCACAGTCATACAATACATATTAAAATCTGCTAAAAATAGGCTTCATTCACAGCATAGTATTGACAATTTCACAGTTTTAGTCAATTGCACCGGTGTAATTGTAAGAATTATCAGTTACACTATCCCAGAATAGTGAGAAGTGCTGGAGGACAGCTTCAGCAATCATTTGTATCGAAATAAATGGGACGCACTTCTTAAATATGAACTCGAGCTGGATTGTGTATTGTATTAAAAAGTGTTTTGTCAGGAGCTACACTGATGAAAAGGTCTGTTACAGTTCATGTGAAGACTACTGTAATCCTGAACTAAATGATACCAAATAAATGATAAAGAGTGGTGACAAATTAGTGAAACTGTTTCTTTATGGTCAGACTGATTATTGTTGTACTTCAGGAAATATCAACACTTAACAGTGATTGATATTGGTTTAATGACCTTATTCACATTTCGGAATGTGGAGAAGAAATAAATAAAGACGGGTGACAAATTAAAGGAAAAACCTGAATGAATGAATGAGTGGACGAACATGACAAATGCACGTACTTTCATACAGGACATGAGGGGTCTTTGAATGGTTGATGAGAATGAAAATGATGTGAATCAATTGAACACCTATGGGTGGATGGAGAGGGTTCCAGAGATAGGAGGTTTGTATTGGTTTTGCCTTTAAATTGGCACCCATTTGTACATCTATGAAAGGCAAAATCCCATGATTTATAAAACCTTACTGCACTTCGTGTGGAAAACACACAAACACACACACACACACACACACACGCACACACACACGTACACCTTGAAATCTAACGACAGATAGACAGATCGGGAATAGATGAAAATAACATCAGTTGATCACACATAATGTGGGTGGAGTATAACTCTTATGGCAAGACTTGATTCCCACATGCCTCGACTTCTGTCCACACTTGTTTTCAGCCATGCAGGAGAAGAGGCTCTTCTGTTTCCCAGGCATGTCAACAGTGTGGAGAGTCATGCTGCTGTGGGTCTGCACAGCAGCATACATACACAGGTATTTACAATAAGCTGCATGTGCTGCATCAGCATGTAAACAAATATCTGTTATGCTTTTTTCTATGTTCAGCTATTACCTTTGAATTTTTCTTTTTTGAGTTGATCTTTCCATTGAAACATCTACAGGTACACCAGGAAGTGATGTGCTTTGCATGTCCGACACCAGCAACAGTGTTAAAGAAGATTTGATTCCATAAATACCAAGGCTGTACCAGAAAAGTGCCACAGAAAATGAAATGCCAAAGCAGTGGTGGCCCGGTCATCTCCAAAGACACATAAGCATTGAAAGCTTAGAGGAAATATCCTATAAATCTGCTTTTTGTTTTTTTTAACCTGCTAAATTGGTATGGTTTGCATTTCTAACCTATTCTTGTTATTTGGGGATGTGATATCTTAACTCTGTTGCAAATCCAAGTCAAATCTCAAGTCAGTCCAAACAAGTCCAAGTCAAAGTCTCAAATCTGTTTATGCATGCCTTTAAAGTCAGGTGCCACCTCTTTTAGCATAAGTCTCCACAAGTAAATTGCAAGTCAAAATTCAAGCAAGACAATACAAGACTTAATAATTCAAGTTGTGCAGCTATGTTCGGCCTGCCTCTGTCTTTTTCACGCACGTTTCTTTTAGATGTGTTAAAGATGTGTGTCTTAAATTCTCACAGCAGTAAAGTCAAAGTCAAGTCATAATTTTTGTGACTGATGCATTGTGAGACGGGTCTAGTAATAGTGGTCTTGGTTGTTGTCCGTGTCAGACTGTTTGCCATCAATTTTTAAGACTCGTCTAAAAAAACAGCATGTCCTCTCAGAACTTGTAATAACTCAGTCTCCACTAGTTGCTCCCATTGAGTAGATATAAAGCCCAGTTCACCACTCCAGTATGCCCGATTGTCAGTGTTGCTTCCCAGCCTACCCTGTCTGTGGTTGACTGTTTATTCGTGCCAGCTTGTTTGTTGTGTGACCTTTTCCCACACCTGCATTAAATCCTTTGTCTGGTTCTGGGGTCACACCTTGCTTTCCAGACATGTCACTGCAATGCTTACTTAATATTCTTAAAAACTTTCTCTAAAAGATATTTTATTAAACATGGAGGTGGCAGCTTTAATGAAAAAGCATGGATGCTTCAGATAGGGACTTCAAATGAATCGTTGGTACAGTTGTTGGTGCTTTTGTGATATTTTCCACTGGACTCTGGGTGTCAAGCTCATTATGTTTCCAATTTAGGTTTAAGTTTGGTGTCAGTCCTACAATCATTCACACACTTTCAGCCTGAGCACAGATATTCCATTTGAGCTTTTAGAAGTACCAATGTTTGCCCCAGGGCCTCCTGCACATTGAGCTCAGGCCTGTTGGTCAATATTCCAAGGCAACACACACACACACTTTTTGTCCCTCCCCCTAGGCAGACAACTTTTTTTCTCAGGAGTGAAGGCAGTCACTGTTCAGCAGAACCTTGGTCATGTCTGGACTGCTGGGTGTTCGACTGTTGCTGCTGTGGGGCAGCGCCTGCCTTTGGCTGCCCGGCCTGGCCCGGGGATCTCTGTTCATCTCCGGGGCCCATGAAGCTCTGCAGGTAACACACTGACTTTTTATACTCTGATCATAATTTGAAATCACATAATTTTATAGATGAAGTTTAATTTTGCGAGTATTCATTTAATGTGGTGGCTCCTGATCTGTTTCCTTATGAATAATCTCTGGAACACAAACTGTGCTCCTTCGGTCCTACTTTGCATATTAAACCCTACTCAGTTTTACTATTATATTTCTCCTTCCAACTTCTTCTCTTTGTGACACAGAATATAAAGTTTTTCTTACAAGCTACCTCATGTAATGTCAGTGTTTGTTTCTAATATCTTGGCACTATGTTGGTTCACTCTGCTGTATTTGTATTTCAGGAGACAAGAGGAGCTGCCAGATCACTGCAGGTATTTGAGAGAAACTACTTAGAGACAGACAGTCCTTTCATATAATGGTGAAATATTTCTGTTTGTACATTATGTACCAAGCTTGTAGTCATTGATAAATAACGTAACTGAATCATAATTACATAACTTAACCATTAAAATGAAATAAATATGGCTATATTTAAAGAGGTACATACATAATTAATTTATTAATAACATTAAGTAACAGTGGTAGTTGAAATTATCAACTTTGCGTAGTCTTAAATTTTGATTTTCCACATCTAAAAAGAATATTATCTAATTTAGCTTTTTGGTTTTTGTTGCAGAAACGAAGTACAACTGAGGTCACGGTAAGAAAAAAATGATGAGAAATATTAAATTCAGTTCAATACAACTTAGATAGAAGATAGAATAAGAAAGAAACAATACTAATCATCAAACCAGCAGAAGATGTATTTGAAATTGGTAATAAATAAATATAAATAAATGAGAAAACAACCTAGAAACTATGTAGGCTGTACAAGAGCACAGAAAATTACCGATACAGCTCAGAGCTAAGAGTAGCCATTACTTTTACAGGCAGGTAAATCTAGCGACGTCCTGGTAGGATCAGTATGTTTATTGATTTCCTGTGATTTGTTGGTCATAAAAAGACCTCAGATCTCTCTGTTTGACTCCAGTCATCTTTACTGTTAACCGCACCGTTCAGGCTGTTTCTGTCCTTCGCTGACAGGCTGCCCACCAGCAATAAACAGTAAAGCTCAACAGACTCTCAACAAGAGACTGAACAACTGAGAATAACTGAACTCACACTGAACAAGAGTTTAGTTTTCAAATATCCACACTATCCCTCCTTAGAACACACAGCACCCAGGTTGACTCACCCAGTCTGCAAGATCACAACACTCCCAAAGTGGAATCAGTGACATGTCTTTTTAAAACATTTTTTCAAGCTGTTTTTCTTTTTTTTTCTTTGGCACCAGTCAGGGCAGCACTTTGTGGACTGGATCCAGCTGCAAAAACTGTCTGAAATGACATAAAAATAGCAGTTCTAACAGTGATTCACTGTATGAAAATGCTGAATGTGAAGTGCTTGTGATAGGAGGCTTCTCATACTCATTAGTGTTTAAAAATTCCCATGTCCTTCTCCTTCTCCCTCGGTCTCAGGTGGAGGTGTACAGTGTGACAGTGGACTGCACTGTGACGTCTCGTTTCGCTCACACCGTCATGACCTCCAAGGCTCTGAACAAAGCAAACACCTCCCAGGAAATCTTCTTTGAAATGGAGCTGACCAAGACTGCCTTCATCACTAACTTCAGCATGTCAGTGTGTCTCCACTCAAATGTTCACTCTGTTCCTCCTTGTATTGTGACCATTTGTGTGTGACAGCATTTATCCCTTTTCTGTTTCCCAGTTGATTTTTCTTCATGATACAGTTAGAGTTTGACCAGTTTCCTTAAGTTTCCTCATGTCATTCTCCATCTTTGTGCCTCACAGGGAAATTGACGGTCAGGTGTATGTTGGTGAGGTGAAGGAGAAAGAGAAAGCCAAGAAAGAGTATGAGAAGGCTGTTTCCTCTGGACAGACTGCTGGACTGGTCAAGTGAGTCATGATGGAAAATAGGAAACCCTAGTATTGTGAAAGAAAGAAACATATAGTATCAACATTTTTATATCCTTCCATTAGAGGTTGTCAGTTGAGTCTGTGTTTTTATACAGGGCTTCCGGAAGGAAGATGGAGAAGTTTTCAGTGTCTGTTAACATTGCAGCCAAAAGTAATGTGACTTTCATTCTGACCTACGAGGAGCTCCTTCAGAGGAAACAGGGCCAGTATGAAATTCTGACCCGAATTAAACCCAAACAAGCAGTGCAGGAGTTTCAGGTGAATCAGGGTTCACGTTCAAATTCTGCCTCTTGGTGATTTCAGATATTCTAAATGAGTGGTTTACTGAACAAATGTTCTCTGTCTCTGTGTGTGTTTGCCTGTGTGGAGACAGATTGTGACAAACATCTATGAGCCTCAGGGCATTTCTTATGTTGATGCCCATGCAACATTCCTCTCCAATGAGCTGCTCCCTCTGGTGGAGAAAACTGTCACTGACAACAAGGTACACGATACAACAGGCCTTGTCTCTGTTTTTTCCTGTCCTTTTATTCACATTAACAGTAAAATGACTGACCCCAGATTAAGAGTATTGACCGTATTGTATCCCATTGTCAGGCACACATCTCTTTCTCACCAACTCTGGAGCAGCAGAGGAAGTGTGCGAGTTGTGATGAAACGCTCATCGACGGAGATTTTATCATCAAGTATGATGTGAACCGAGTAGCGGGCCTCGGGGACATTCAGGTCAGCTCTCAACAAATACTGCACTCAGTATCTGCTGAATGTGCATTTAACTATATGCTTACT